GATAGACCCTTAAGGAAATGAGCTGGTGATATATTCTGACCTAGACACTACAACAAGAGTAACTAGGACACCAGGCCAGATTATTAACCGTTCGTGCTCGGCGAAATAAAACTACAAACTATAGTCTGTTTGCAGTGAAAACGTACCGATGAATTTCACTCTGAACAAAAAAGTAAAATCGATTAAAGCGAAATTAAGATTGCGAATCCTCATAATTTTACCTTGCCAATTCAATTCAAATCTCAGAATTTTATTCAACGATCATGGTTTCAAATCGCTTTTATTGGTCTGTATTACAAGGGGGTAAGCACATTAGATGAAACACCGAGAACAAGTAGGGCTGGTCTAAGTTAACGCTCATCACGTACCGCACGTGCATTTGTTTCACTGTTCCATCTACTGCGCTTACCCCCTTGTAATACAAACCAATAAGAGCGATTTGAATCTATGATCGTTTGTTAAACAACTTTTATCCTAAGTTGAATAAAACTCTGAGATTTAAATGTTCATTTGGAAAGGTAAAATTATGAGGATTCGCAATCTTAATTTCACTTAATTTGATTTACTATTTTGTGAAATTCATCGGTACGATTTCACTGCAAACAGACTATAGCAATTCCCAACGTAACAGATCCATCCATGCGTGGCTAACTAACATCTGCAACTTAAACATCACATATAACAGTAAAACACCAAACCACAATTCCATTTGTCTAGCTGTTAATGTTTCCTAATGTATTGGTTCTAAACAATCAAGGCAGGGAAACAGCTTTTTCGTAATTCATCTAAACGATTAACGACAACCAACGTGCTTTTAAGCACGGATGTAGTGCGCCCAAATTGCTGTAAATTTGGACAAGATAAAGCGATACCGGACAGGCTGCTATTACTTCAATGAAGGTTACTCTCAGAGCCTTTCTGTCATCCATCATGCAAAACCTGGAATGGCTCCTCACAACACTGCTAGCAACAAACCCTGTGATGAGATTTCGACACGCCATGCATCTGAAAACGAGGCTAAGGAGAAGCAACCGCCTAATACACTGCTAAATTAATTTGACATTAGAGTACAAGTAATATTTAAAGCAGTAATCAAATAATCTATTTAATTGCGTGCTTCATCTGGTAGAAAATACCGCCCATTTCATCTTTCAACACTATGCTATGACTCACACAAAGAGCAATAAGACGAGAGCAGCCCATCCCGTGATTATGCCGCCATATTTTCTGACCCGTATAACTCTGCAATTAAATGTTTCCCCTGCTCCCGAGGACTGCGCATGCGCAACAACAGGATTATTAAGACCGGCTTCATTTATACGAATGTTTCAATTCGTCTGAAAATGATCAGTATAATGCGATTAAGAAGTGTGCGCTTTGATAGCGAAACAGTCAATCATTCACAGACAATTAACAAGCAGCTTTCATCGGCGGGTAAACACGTTCAACAGATTCAGCAGGGTGTGTAGTGCCAATATGACATTATATTCCCCAAAACATGTCATTGCGGTAATTATGGTGTGTTTTTAACATAAGTTGATGAGCATATGATAAATTCGGTACACGTGTAAAATATTTTAACCATGGATATGAGTGGATGAGGAATTCGTCTTTTTTCAGAGTTTCGAGTAGGCATTTTGTGTTCGAACTTGATGATGAAAGTTAGGCAATCCTTGAAAAATAACTGACGAATACTTGAACAACTACATCACGTCACAGGGTCGGTGAGTTAGCACAGTGGTTAAAGTGTCTTTCTCGTGTGCAATGTGTGAACCTTATTTGTGGTGTGCCCCGCCGTGATATTGCTGGAATATCGCTAAAAGCGCCGTAAGTCTATACTCACTCACTCGCTCATCACGTCACAAAACTGATAACCTGCGTGATTCCCGGACACCCCGTTACGACGATCGTAAATTTCATACATTAAGACAAACTTACGACAGTCAGAGAGTTACCGTTAACTTGCAAGAACAACTGTGCTTCAAGATGGGTTTGCGGGTTTCCTGCACCTTATTCTAGGTGGTAATGAATATGAGAAAGATCCCAGTTGTCTTAAACAGATGCCAAAACAAACACCATTGTGGATTTAGAGTTGTTTTTTTTATTGTTTAATTGTTGTTCATCGCTGCACTCAGCAATTTCCCATCTATATGGCAGCGGTCTGTGATTAATCGAGTTCTGGCCAGGCAATCCAGTGATCAACATCATGAGCATCGACGTTTGCAGTTGGGATACGATGACGTGTGTCAACCAAGACAGCAAGCCATGGGTTTAGAGTGGCTTCACGTGATTATACGTATCTATGCAGTGAAAGTAAACAACATCATTTTGACAAACGATGACTTAATGCATATTGTGACTGATGCTGCGTGTTTGATACAAGGAGCAACAGGCAACGTTGGCACTCCATCGGCCAAGTCACCGACCCCGACAACCTTGACCAATCCACTCTTATAACCTCAATGTATGATAATGATAATAGTGACAATGTGTACTTATATTGCGTCAACTTCCACACACAAAGTGTATGCTCAAAGCACTATTACCCCGGTCAGTGGAACAGTGTACACTACAACCCATGCTGCCTGTGAGAAGCTAGCAGGTTAACAGTCATTTGGTCATCTCATCCCATCGGGTACCCATACACTGCTGGGTGACCAGAGGCAAACCTGAACAAAATCACTTGCCCTAGGTCTGACTGCATGTGTCTCGTGTGATTAGTTGTGGCACAGGACCGAAGTCCTAAAAACTCTCAGGTGGTGTCCGTATCCAAGGACTCTCAACAAGTTGATTTACTTGAACTTATTAGTGACCTGTGCTCTTTGCACTGAACCACACACCAGCAGTGTACTGGGAGCTATTCTCTGAAAAAATAATTGTGGTTGAACCAAATAACTTCATTTAAATTGAAAAGGAGCCCCATTCAGCTGTAAGATCTAAACTTATTTCTATTTATCGAATAGGTCCTGCACTGCAGAAATGGCTGGGTTGGGAGACGAATGTGGTTCAGGAACTGTGAGACAGACCATCAGCTATTTGACCGCACCCGTACTGAGTCAGGGCTAAAAGGGCATGATGCAGATTGGAAAATGATGCGGTTGTATTCCTGGAAGTTTAAGAATGGGAATAGTTTTACGACGCTAGGATTTGTCAGCCTTCATTTTACCCATTTTTCTAATGTTCTCCTTACAGTTATTTAAACATTTCAGGAACCTTAAACCTGGTAGGGGCGGTTGGGTAGCAGACAGGCAGACAGGCAGACAGGTTTTATTCAGTAATGTAGGCACAGTGGCCCATAGTACAGTTGAATTTTCATTTTAACAAATATTGGTCACGTGACACGAAATTATGGTTTTACATGTGATTTAAGGATGGACATCAAATGTTTTATGAAAATGGCAGCTGATTTAATAGTGTCATCGTTATTAGAATTAAGTATTTTATATATCGTTTGTGGGGCATCATTAAAGCATTTTAGATACTTCTTTCGGCCAGCAGAGAATGCCTCACAGTCTAATAATAAGTGACGTTCGTCTTCAGTTTTACCAGAAGAACAATGAGAACATGATAAATCTTCCAATGTATTTTTTATCTTTCTATAACGCTGTATTTTTAAGGCATGTAGAGAGATTCTAAATTTACAAAAATTTCTTAAAAGGGACTTATCATTAAGGACCCTAATATATTTTCAGGTCCGAACATCGATTTACATTGTGAATAATGACTTAGAAAACTCGATGAATTTACTGATGCGTGCCAATTCTGAATATATATATCTTTTATTCGTTGCTTAAAAGTTAACAAAACATTTTTATATCACCAACATCTTGCTTAAACCAAACATAAGAAAACCCGCTTGAAAATAACACATTTCGGACACCAGAAGCCCAAGAATACTTTCCACGTTTGTCTAGGGATAATAATAATTGATAGCTTTGATAGGGTAGCGATAATCAGGCATTCTTATAAGTTTAATCCAGTATCTGATAGCTCTCATTTGACTCTCAATATGCATGCTATAGCGGCCTGTATCGCCAAGTACGGCTTTGTTGGAAGCAAATTTACCTACAGTAAGAAATCTTTTAATATATGATGCATGCACATTTTCTATAGCTTCGAAATAGTTTACTCCCCAAATTTCAGATCCATATAACAATATTGGTGCTATTTTAGTGTCAAAAGTAAGCAAGCTGAGTCAAATGAAATAAACTTATTAGCCTTAAACAGTTTAAAAATAGGAAATAATGCCTTCTTAGCTTGTGCTGCAAGGGTTTTAGATGCCATGGACCAATTTAATCGGCTGGAAAATAGAAGACCCAAATATTTATAATATGAAACAACATTAATACTTTTGCCACGGAATAACCATTTTTCAGAATGTGCCACTATACCCCCATTTCTAAAGACAACTATGTTAGATTTTTCCATATTCAACTCTAGTCCCCATGTGTCACAAAATGTTTGAAGAATATTTATCTGTCTCTGCAGTCCTTTTACCATGAATGAAAACGTAACAATATCATCTGCAAAGAGAAGCAAAAGTAAATCTTTGATTTGGGGAGTAACAAATATTCCATTATTACACGATTTATACATATCATCTACAAGTTCATTAATAAAGTTGGGTAGCCTAACGATTAAAGCGTCCGGTCGTCACGTTAAAGACTCGGGTTCGATTCCCCAGATGGGTACAATGTGTGAAGCCCATTTCTGGTGTCCCCCGCCGTGATATTTCTGGAACATTGCTAAAAGCGGCGTAAAACAATACTCATTCACTCACTCACTTAAAACTGGTCAAAGTAGATTAAAACCTATGGCAGAGGAAAACCAGTCATGACCAAGCCAGGCTGAACTAGGCGCAAAAGGCAAAACAGCCATGAAATTTCAGGAATGGATATTTGACAGTCGAATGACACTAGAGACCTGTTTGATTTTTAATGCTCATTTCTTATAAACTCTGTGTCCAAATGTTTCTTTAAATGACAAAATATCCTTTAAAATCATGTTTCATATGCATTTATTCAATAAAATTAAATCAAAGATTTAAAAAATATCTTGTAGTATGACACGGAAAATACGTTGCATAAAAATGACCTCTGGAAATAAAGAAATTGTAACAAGTTCATGCAGGAATTTGCTAGAAACAAGAGACATATGATGGATGTTTCTTGCTACAAATCACGGTGCTCTCTTCAAAAACCCAAACTTGACTAAAGAATCCTTGTCACCAAGTCACCAAGCAGTAAAGGTAGGCAATCTCAAACAGACTTGAGTTCTAAGAACCAATAAATACTAACAACTGAATGAGATCTGTTCAATGGTTGTCGACAAGCGCCATGAAAAATATGTACACAGCTCACAACCTTTCTACCCTTCGGGGTTTTCAAGTCCGATTTCGACTTCTTCCTAACGGAGACTCACCTTTAAACTATGTGTCAAGGTCATTGATTATTCAAGCGTTTCAATGCCAGCTTCGTGAATCTGTCTGCCATGGAAATTGATCAGTGGATGTAGTTTGGACGACGTCCTGCTTTGAAGCTTTCCACATAAAGCTCTTCTGTCCGCCATGAAAACTGATGGCATCAATATTCAAGATGCAGATGTCGTCTTTATCAAAGGTTTCACTTTAATATTGCGTTCCTCGGTTTCATACACCTCTAAGGAGAGTTTAAAATTCACATCCCGCTTTGTCGGGACGAATGCTTGTCGGGACAGCGTGCTTGCATTAGGTGTCCAACGAGAAGACATTGAAAACGTTGAGTCTTTGATAAAAAGCATATTCATCGAATGGAAGACAATGAGGGTCATGTGATCCCAAACCACCATCCCATTAGGATATAACGTTCTACACATCCGGAATAGAACTGAATAATGAAATGATTCTATTCAAAGCTGGGAATCACGGTCGAGCCATCATGGAGTGAGTGCAGTTTTTTATCATGTGGCTTCTGATCTCACCGTTGTTGTGACCCAGCTTGGAATATGTCACATCCCCTGACTGCTCTAAGTTGACTCATCAGGAGGAACACATTGTTTGTATCCCTTGATTAAACTACGTGAGGCTGGTGGTCCCTTTTCAGGAACATTTTACAATCACTGGTCAGGCGAAAATTTCACTTGCTTTCATGTCTGTGAATTGTGACAAGAATGGACAGAATATAGCGAGAGCAGTTCCCATGATTCCCAGCATGTAGCTCCAGCCAATCAGACACTGGCCTGAGTAGTAGGCGGAAGACATGTTGCCGCAGTACTCGCGGAAGGACTTGGAGCCCAGTCCCAGTGGGTAGATCAGGAGCCCAGCTATCATTATTAATACTGCAACAGAAACAAATAAAGTAATTAAACAAGTGAAATACTTGACATCCTATTTAGATAACAGTTAAGTTCGTGGTGGTACATTTTAGCAAGACGTACGCATATGGACACTCATCATGTTCCCATCTTGGCTTATCTCCTTCTAGAAGCTAATGAGTTATAGTTTCTTCTGGGGTTGGCAAAATGAAATCAATGACCTTAACAATCTTCAAGCATGTCATTGTCTGATGTCGTTCTATAATAGTAAAGAAATAAATGTTTCCGATTCTTAAGGAAGACGCAAAAAGAACGTTCACCACTTTGTTTGAAATATGAACACGGTCAAAGCACTGACAGACCAAGAGTCGAATACGAGACGGAACACTGCACATCAAATTACGATGGTTTGAGTCCCCTAACCCACCTAAACGTTAGTCGCAAAAGTCTTTCTCATCCTTCATTATTGGCGTACTAGTAATCTATGATTTCGTCCTGTTTATGCTTGGCAGCAACACTACCATGCGCATAGCCATAACATTTCAGACGTAAAATGTCGACCTTACTCCTCAATCTAGTTTCTTGCACTCACTCACTCAACCTTCCCATAGGGATCGTTCACACAGTCCCTTTCGACGTCAAAATGCTTCAGACGTAAAATGTCGACGTAACTCCTCAATCCAATTGCCCGCCCTCACTCACTCATTGACTTGCTCATCCTTCCAATCTGAATCGCTGACAACGTCCTCCTCCAGGTCAAGATGTTTCAGATGCATCTCCCCATTCCAATCGCAAGCACTCACTCACTCACTCACTCACTTATCCTTCCTATCACTGACACGGTCCCTTTCGACGTCAAAAATATTTCAGACATAAAATGTCGACATTACCCCTCTAATTTCATGCACTCACTCAGTCACTCACTCATTCATTCAACCTTCCCATATGGATCGTTAACACAGTCCCTTTCGATGTGAAAATGCTTCAGACGTAAAATGTCGAGGTTTCTCCTCAATCCAATCGACAGCCTTAATGGAATGGCATGCGTAATGCAATATAGAGCGAACCGGAGCTGGTCAATGTCATACGTCTGGTCATTAAGCTGTCAAGTAGATACAGTTTCGGGTTCGACAACAGACAGAAGGTCACCGATCCAGCACCGCAATACTTTATTACACCACAGATGCCAACTAGACGTGTAGCCGAATAATCAAATCAAACCAATCAGCTGATCCACAGAGTCTCCAGACAAGAGCGTACTTGATATACTATACATCAGTCTGGCAAATGTGGTCAAAACAACTGTTCAATTTTCCGGCTTATCAACGCTGCCAATACAATCCAAATCCGATTCGAGGAGTAATTGTTTCCGTGTCTTGTGTCTGGCTGAAATCTAACCTCGATGGATGACGCGTCTATAGTGTTCGTATTCTGACTGTGCCATTGTCAGGCAGCATCAGCTTTAAACACCTTCATCAGTGCCATTCTATACATACACTGGCATGGTAACAGGTTTACGGGATTGGAGCGTTGGGAAGGTGGCATCTGATTCAATTTGCGTGAGTTAAAGCTGTTGCTGAACGCCCGGTTCGAACGTGCTTCTTGAATCAGTGTAGAACATAGGAATATTGATTGATGGCAATGGTATTAGTTACCACCTAAACGTTAGTCGCAAAGTCTTTCTCATCCTTCATTATTGGCGTACTAGTAATCTATGATTTCGTCCTGTTTATGCTTGGCAGCAACACTACCATGCGCATAGCCATAACATTTCAGACGTAAAATGTCGACCTTACTCCTCAATCTAGTTTCTTGCACTCACTCACTCAACCTTCCCATAGGGATCGTTCACACAGTCCCTTTCGACGTCAAAATGCTTCAGACGTAAAATGTCGACGTAACTCCTCAATCCAATTGCCCGCCCTCACTCACTCATTGACTTGCTCATCCTTCCAATCTGAATCGCTGACAACGTCCTCCTCCAGGTCAAGATGTTTCAGATGCATCTCCCCATTCCAATCGCAAGCACTCACTCACTCACTCACTCACTCACTCACTTATCCTTCCTATCACTGACACGGTCCCTTTCGACGTCAAAAATATTTCAGACATAAAATGTCGACATTACCCCTCTAATTTCATGCACTCACTCAGTCACTCACTCATTCATTCAACCTTCCCATATGGATCGTTAACACAGTCCCTTTCGATGTGAAAATGCTTCAGACGTAAAATGTCGAGGTTTCTCCTCAATCCAATCGACAGCCTTAATGGAATGGCATGCGTAATGCAATATAGAGCGAACCGGAGCTGGTCAATGTCATACGTCTGGTCATTAAGCTGTCAAGTAGATACAGTTTCGGGTTCGACAACAGACAGAAGGTCACCGATCCAGCACCGCAATACTTTATTACACCACAGATGCCAACTAGACGTGTAGCCGAATAATCAAATCAAACCAATCAGCTGATCCACAGAGTCTCCACACAAGAGCGTACTTGATATACTATACATCAGTCTGGCAAATGTGGTCAAAACAACTGTTCAATTTTCCGGCTTATCAACGCTGCCAATACAATCCAAATCCGATTCGAGGAGTAATTGTTTCCGTGTCTTGTGTCTGGCTGAAATCTAACCTCGATGGATGACGCGTCTATAGTGTTCGTTTTCTGACTGTGCCATTGTCAGGCAGCATCAGCTATAAACACCTTCATCAGTGCCATTCTATACATACACTGGCATGGTAACAGGGTTATGGGATTGGAGCGTTGGGAAGGTGGCATCTGATTCAATTTGCGTGAGTTAAAGCTGTTGCTAAACGCCCGGTTCGAACGTGCTTCTTGAATCAGTGTAGAACATAGGAATATTGATTGATGGCAATGGTATTAGTTATCTAAAGGCTAATTTGTTGTGTAAATTACATAGTGCACTCTGCTTGTTGAATCGTCTAATTTCAATGAAGTTAGATATGATGAGTGAGTTTAGTTTTACGCCGCTTTCAGAAAAAATATCAGCAATGGTAGGGTGGAGGACACCAGAAATGGGCTTCACACATTGTACCCATATGGGGAATCGAACCCGGGTCTTCGGAGTCACGAGTGAACGCCTTAACCACTACGAATACCCCGTCGCCCCGAGATAAGAAGAAAAGACTATTTGACTATTTGACTTTAATAGAGACGCGCATGTATATAGTATTCCCAGAAATTATTGAGAAAATTGTTTCTGCAAGTATCTAATACATGTATATAAACTATAGACGTTTTACTAAAATGAATATGTTGAGATATGATTCTCATACAGTCTAAGTGTCTTTTCAGTACTTTGTGAGACCTCCTTGCCCTGCAATACCCAACTAAATGCGCCTAGGTACACAACTGATCAAAATTTGAAGGAAATCGCCTGACAGTGTATCCCAAGTAATATTCGATCACTTCTTTCTTCATATCCTCAATATTTCCAAGTCCTGTTTGATATTCTTCAAAGTTCTGTATACTGTAGACATGTAATGTCTACCAGCTAACTCGTTTGTATTAGTCATACCCCTTTCAAAATCATCCAGAACCCGTTTCTGCCATGTCAACAAAGGACGACGTCTGTTCACCAGGGGAGATAACTCTTGAAGTAGTAAGGTTCATTCTTAAGCCTACAAGAGTTGTCTCCTATATCGAGTGCCTTACTACAGAATTTATCACCTATTTTAAAATTCTATTATGGGTATTAGAAAACAAAGATTTTCTCAATAATTTCTGGGAAAACTGTATGCTTGTGAGTGTGTTTGTGTGCACACGTTTGTGCCTTTTTGTTGTTTCACGCCGCACACATTAATATTCCAGCTGTATATAATCGGGTCTGGACCATACAATCCAGTGATCAACTTTATTAGCATCGATCTTCTGTGATGCGATGACATCTATAAACCAAGTCAGCGAGCCTGCGTTGCTAAAGAGCAATTCCAACGGCTGCCTGTACTGATACGAAGAGATGCGGTTTTTGTTTAGTGCGGTGTCGTAGTTGAACATGAATACCCAATTTAGACATTGTATGCTGACTCTGAGCCGACCAGTGATTTTATCCCTTAACTGCCGAGCGCCAAATACGGCAACAACTAGACTAACGCTTAGTCTCTGAATACATATAATTTCTATTGTGACAAATAAACTCATTTGAATTGAAAATGAGCCCCAGTGAGACGGGAGATTCAGAACCTGAGGAAATCTAGTCTTGCTTCATTTAGGGCTTTAGCATTGGAGGGTGGGGTGGGGGTGTATTGGCAGTTGGGAAAAAGGTGTGGTTCAGGGAGTGCGAGACAGACTAGGAAACAACAGAAGCGCCGGGGATCGAACCACCGACATTAGGCTCTCGAGGCAGTCCCTCTATCCATTACACTAACGGTTTGAAGGGAAATTGTTTGTAGCATATGTTGGTTGGTTTGGTCACGCCGGAGGTCCAGGTTCGAATCCCACAATAGGTATAATCTCTGAATCCAGTTGTTGGCGTGCCCCACAGTAATATAGCTAGAATGCTGTCTAAATACTCTCACATGTTTAATGACTTTAACAGCAGTTATGCAGTTCAGCGTCATAGAAGTCACAATAGAGTTCAACGAGTTACACGTACCCATTACAGGAATCGAACCCTGAACTTAGGCGAGATGAACCACTCGACCACATCAGAGTCGCTGCAGTACAACAAGGGCTATTCTAGCAACATCTAGTGTTTGGTTCCTATTCAATCAGTAAGCCTTTTGATATGACTTGTAGTCCGATGATATTGCTCTAAAACCATACCCAAGTGAGTAAAGCCTTTGTAATAAGTGTTCAATAAAGTGAACAACTGTCAAGAGCCTATCAACAGATCTGAAAGGCGATTGTTGATTGCTCAGCCCGACAATTAATTCAGATATCTCATCAATGGAAATTAGACTCCCATCCACACCAAAAGGTCAGTGCACAGAGAGAAAGCCTCCAAAAGCATCCGAAACCTGCCTGATTGATGAAGTGTTACTCCATTCATCTGGCACC